TCTATATAGGCATACAGTGCTAGCATAATCATACAATCTAATTCATCTATACTATCTAATTTATTTTATTTCACACTTTACCGAGAGACTGAATTACTTTTTTGGCACAAGTCTCTTTTTTATTTTTATTTTTAATTAAGAATGAAACTGTCATCACTGTAGTCAAGTAATAATGAAAAATACTATTTTAACAACATTTGTAACACCAGTATTTCTTACATTCCTGTGCATAACAAAAATATGAGCTAAATTCCTGTAAAAGTGACCTATATAACAACACCTATATTCTGGCAGGATACTTATTTATTTATGACAATTCCAGTCTTTATATGCATATATAAATAAAAGTTGGAATATTTGGATTACAACCAAGGCACAGATGACTATCTGCCCAAGGGAAAAAAAGCTTCTTGGAGGACTTTTTAAGGGAGTTTGGTATTTGTGTTACGAATGATGCCACATGCAGACAGCTAGTTCACCGAACCCAGCTATCAGTGTTCTTCGATTTTACCACTTGACATCCGAGGGGTTTATATAAATAAAGTTAATAAATCCACTTGAAACTTTATGATATTAGTATTAACTTTACATTTTCTATTTTAATCCAATTTTTGTACTTAACATTGCTGCCTGAAACATGCAAAATGTGGAGAAAGTGCAGAATCACCCACTGCTTGGTGCATTTTTAAGAATTGCACATACTCGGTATCCATGTACATATCAACCCATTTTCACTTTAAAAAAAAAAATCCCAGAATTGCACAAAAATGGCACTGCGTACTCACTTGACTTTATCCATGTACACATTGACCTATTTTCACTTAAAAAGTCAAAGACAATTGACAAAAATCAAATTCTTCTTACTCTTGTAAAAAGTGCCAAACAAATAAGTGGGCAATTCTGCACTTTACCCTCAAAATGCAATGCAATACAATGACAATATATAACCAATAAAATCTTTGAGGAAAGTGCAGAATCACCCACAGCTTTGCACGTTTCTCAAAATCACCAACTTGAAAATTACACGTCAAAAAATTGCACAAACTCAGTATCAGGTACACATCTACCTATTTTCACTTAAAAAAACATCGCAAAATTGCACAAACTTGCCATTGCACACTCCCTTGACTTTGTCCATGTACACATCGATATGCGCCATATAAGTGGGCGATTTTGCATCAACTTGCAAATAACAAGTCAGAGAATTACACAAACTCGGTATCCATGCACACATTGACCTATTTTCACTTAAAAAATAATCAGAGAATAGCACAAACTTGGCATTGCACACTCCCTTCACTTTGTCCATGTACACATTGACACACGCCATTTAAGTGGGCGATTCTGCACTTTACCGAAATCCTTTTTATGCTAAAGGAGAATATATATATAACAGCTTTAGTATTGGTCCTTTTGGCGATTTTTTTATTTGGAAACAAACTTTGGTCGCCAAGGTAGACCCGGTTTTGAAGATCGGGAAAAAATGGCAGATTGTCAATAAAACCCGATCTAGACTAAATAACAATCCTAAAAAATAAGCACTTAATCAGGAATAAACAGTCTTTCTCTAATTTTCAATATTTCTAGTACTGCTATGATAAATTCTTGAAACACTACTGTAAATGAATTTATGACAATTATTATGTTATGAGCAATGAAATTTACAAAATGTTAGTATTTTTAATTACAAAATATAATGTATTAAACATTAATATTTTAAGTAGTTAGTTCATATTTATATTTTATTATATTAGTACTTAGCTAATATTTTAAATTTACAAAAGGTTAATTTTTATGTTTATGAATAATGAAATTTACAAAAGGTTAATAAATGCATTTCAAACTAGTATATGTTACTTTAGTTTCTTAGATTCTGTTATTAAAAGAAAATAAAAAAATATTTCAAAGTGAAGGAAATCAAATTCAATTATAATGGGCAAGTTTTGTACCAGTGTTAGAAATATTTTTTTATGATTAAATATTGTAAATGGTAAAAATATTAAGAAGTGTGTATTTTTTAATCCCTACAATTTATTACAAGTAATTTATGATTATAATTTAAAAAGCTAAAATTAAATTATCATAATGAGTAAATTTTGTACCAATGGTAATTAATACACAACAACAGTCATTGTAACTGATGATTTCTGAGAAAAATTCGAACAGTCATTGGAATCCCACTAGTGGTGGAGTGATAAGCCACTGAACAGTGGTAGTTCAGGCTTGGCTATATGGGAGTAACATTTAGTAGTTTTCCTTAGATGCAATGTGAATCTGAGCCAGTTTCTCTTAAAAAGTACTTTATGAAGGCATCCTTCTTCTGCTAGCCAGCATATGTATTTATTTTCTATTCATAATTCTCTCTTATTTTCTTATTTCTTAATTCTAAATCTTACTTCTGAAGAGAAGAAGTGTTGCATCTATAGGTCGAAAAATATGGTCAATAGGTTTGCAAAATCCTGTCAGTTTTGGAAAGCATTTAAATAAACTAAATAATTTGTATGTGATGCAAACAAAAATGCATTATACTATTTCATGTACTGAATAATTAATCAGGGAACAAAGTATATTGTAACTTTCCTTTATTTTGTAACCAGAGTTATTTTATGCTTGGGATCTTTACTGTCAATTTCCTCCATCCGTTTTCTCACCAGAATTCAAATGAAGTTTTTATTTTGTAAAAGAAACTGTGTTTTGCCTTTTGAGGCCACATTAATAGGTTGCTAGATAAGAAAAGATTTGTAGTCTTCAGCCTCGCATTATAATTGCTGATAGTTGAATTCCATGCCAGTTAAGTTTTTAACCATCTTTGCATTAAATTGATTTGTACAGCCTTTGGGCTACAAATTTATTTGAATTTAAATTTTACATTTGAACTTAATTGTTATCATAAGTTATCTTGCCACAAGTGGTTGACTGAGTCGTAAGCACAAAGTGTGCCTTCTGTTCTGTACATCTAAACTTTATAATAGAATAAAAGTATATCTTAACTTAATAAGAATATATCTAAACTTTATAATAGAATAAAAGTATATCTTAACTTAATAAGAATATATCTAAACTTTATGATAATAACATTTAAAGACATTGAAATCAGTATCTAAGTGCTTGCCATGTAGTCAAATTTTTATATATAAATTGTACTCTTACTCTCTTTTATTATAGAGTTTTTATTACAAAAATTTCAGATTTTTGTTAGATAAAATGTTTAAGTAACATAGAAAATTTGCATAAAATTTAAAATAAAAAGTCGACTGTCATGTCAACATACTATTAATAAAAGTAATAATACTCAGTGAAAGTTATTCATATACAGCTGTTAGGTTGTAAGATTGACAAAATTTGAGAACTCTAAATTATAAGCAATATATTCTATAATCTAAGCAACATTATATTTTTTATAGTCAGACAAATTATGAAAATGTTATAAAAGCAATAATGAAACCTGATTTTGGTCCTGATTTGAACCTATGAATTCATGCAATTACACATCCCTATAGTTCTAATATGAGGTAGATAAGTATTTTTAGACCATGGTAATTCTGATCTCCTTAGCACAGGAAACACCAAGAGTTTATCTCATGCTACTGAAAATGTGTTTTTTTCCCTTGGGGGGGTGGGAGTTTATATAATAAGCAGAGTTGACATATGAAAAAATGTCAAGACTCATGTGATGTAATATTAAAAGCACCAGTTTTAACTATCAAAAATTTGGCTTTTTAAAAAATATTTTAAATGTTGTGCTTTCCTAACACAAAAGTAACTTTAAGAATAACACACAATTTATCCCTCCTGCCATCAAAGCTCTGATACCTATCAAATTCGTTAAAGTTACGCGAACAGAAATGGCGGCATGTTTGAAGCTCAGTATTTAGGGTTACCAAGGTGATCATAATTTTTCATTTATCACTCCAAAATGTCGCCAAACAAATTTCTTGCCAAAAAGGACTAATACTAAAGCTGTACGAAAAAAAAAAAAAAAAAAAAAAAAAAAAAAAACACGCTTAAGGAAGAAAGAGCATTTATTACAAAAATGCAAGAAGGAACAATGAACAGCAATGCAGTTGAAAGATGAAATATGATACAATGGGGGAAGAATCTATATATAAATTTTAAAAAATTAAATAAGAATAGTGATGGAAAAATAGGAGTAAAACTTCACATGCTATGAAAGGATCTATCTCTTAATTATTCCAAATATACCTCAACTATGCTAGTAATTTTATTTATGGAGGGGGGACTACATACTTATAAAACTATATCTGAGAACAAATACATAACATTGAAATTATATCATTTCCAAAACTTAACATTAGCTCGTTTTTGGAGAATAAAAAATATACTCTTTTGTTCAATTCCGCCTATGCACTTTGCTCTTTCATTCAATTCAAGTAATTTTATAATCTACCACGTGCATAAAGATAATTATAAATCGCGGGCAAACACTATTAAGAATCACATAATACGAAATAAATTAATGTTTCTAAACAATATACGTGAAGGAACTATTAATAAAATTTGCTTGCTTTAATATGCTATTAAATTAACAACAATACCTCATTGGAGCCGATCTTCCACGCCTTGCCATTTTAAGTACACACCGCTTTAGAGTGAAGCAAGAATTTCAGTTCAACGAATTAAACAATTCAACACCAAAACTTAACTTATCCACTGCACATTGAAAACAAAACGCAGTAATATATATGGAAATATGCAATGCCCTTGCAGCGTACCCTTTTCTGTTACGCAACGCGCAACTTCTAGAACCTTACACATAGAACAAAAAGATGACTTCAGGAATATCAAGAGAAAAAATTATGAATGAGGCTAGTTCAATAACTCAGAGCATATCCCTTTTTTAAGTTTTAACTTTGACTGAAAGGCGTCGCTAGTAGACATTAATAATAGACGGCTAAGGTTCACAATAATAAATCATTTTAAACGAATGCTTCCTCTCCTTTTCATTTTATAATTAAAAAGAACAGTAAAATCTATCACCGAAGAATTTTTCGTTGATTCTATGTAATATTTTCTTTTATCACGCATAGAAAACGAAATATGCCAACGAATTACTTATTAGGGTGGTAAATGAAATAGCTTTAGAAGTTCTTTTAAGTTCTAACAAATATTTCAAATTTGAAAAAATTCGAGCTGAGAAATTTTATCTGAGTTTTACAAATAAATAAATAAATAATTGCCTTATATTTGTCTTATTTAAAATGGCATTGTTCCTGTTATAATTCGTCTGTGGAGGGAATTCGCAATGCTTCTGATCTTTGAAATTATGTCATAAAAGTGAGTTTTATATTTAAAAATGTGATATATGTTTTCAATTCTAGGTGAATATATTAAAAACCAAATGCATAATTAGTTCGAAGAATTTTTATTTCTGTAGATATAAAACAGATTGGAGTTTATTTTTAAGAACTGTGCAAATTGAATGTCATTTTAAAATTCTGAAATGTTTTTGATATCGACAAATTATTATTCATCATCAGCTGCGACCTGAATAAGTGATATTTATTTATTCTCAAATCTGCTGTGGTTTCATCATACTGTACACAGCATATTGTAGCATTAAAATTTGCTGCGGGAACGACATCGGCGTGAGTTTATACACAGGATTACATACACCTGAAAAACCCTGAAGTTAGGGAAATTTAAAATGGTCAGAGGAAAGCAGGAAAAACTCGAACCTTTTTGAAAAAGTCCAAGAAGTTAAGAAAAAATTTTTAGATGATTTCTTTCATATTATAAAATATTAATGTTTTAAATAGTATCTAATTGCGCGTTTTTAAGAATTGCACTAACTCGGTATCCATGTGCACGTCGACCTATTTTCACTTGAAAAAAATCCCAGAATTACACAAAAATGGCATTGCGCACTCCCTTTATCCATGTACAGATCAACCTATTTTCACTTAAAAAAAGTCAAAGAAAATTGACAAAAATCCAATTCTTCTTACTCTTGTAAAAAGCGCCAAACAAATAAGTGGGCGATTCTGCACTTCACCCACAAGAACTAGTCTTTAAAAGAGGAAATAAATTAAGATTTATCTAATAGTTGTTATTCTTGCAAATATTTTACCCGCCTCATTTTTTTGTATAATTTTATGAAATCGTGTTCTTTTTTTAGCTGTAAGTGAGAATTTTACTTGCCGGTTTATAAATAAAGTTGATTCAGTTGTCTCTAGGCAGTGTAATCGGCCTTTGAAAATAAATAATGTACTTAATTAAGTCAATGTAATGTGGGGTTGTATATTATAATAAATGACTGCAATGATACTTCTTTTTTACACTTTTTAAGAGATTTAACAGGAAAAGTATAAATTATGGGAAAATAATTTTCAAATAAAAAGTAATTTCTCACTATTTATAGGTGAGAAATTATTTTTTTATATTCATTGCCAGCCAGGGAAAAAAAAAGGTAGCAGTCTAAAAAAAAAAACTTTTCCAGTTATTAGGTCACCAGTTTAGATCTAATAACATGACATGTAGAAATTACAAAATTAAAAGTATGAAATAATGAAGCATTTATGACCTTAAGGGAATCAAAATTTGCAGGAAAAAAGCTCAATATTTATTTGTTTACTTTATAAATCATTTTTTTATCAATATGAGTTGTTTAACTTGCTTCCTTTTATGGGCTAATGCTTTCAGTTTAATTCTGTAGATAGACATAATTTCTTATAATAGTTATTTATTACACTTATGCCTCTTTTCCATACGCACGTTAGAGAGTCCTGAATAAATAAATGCCCACATATATTTAAGACTAATCCAGGCATTAGACATTTTTGGTTAGAGTAGACAGAAGGGTAACCCTTGTATTATCACAAAGTTGTTTCATTTATCGCCAAGTTGTTGTTTCATATATGATAGCCTGAGTAGATGAATGTTATGGAAAGCCTGTTATGACTTAATGGGTTGTATGATTGCGGTAAATTCATAAGGTGTGGTGTGTGTAAGAGTTAGGAAGTATATTGCTTCTTTTGTGGTTTAGATGGCAAAATGGCTGAATGTGGTAAGATTAGTTTGAAGTTTCTGTATGATTTGGAAAGAAAGGGAAATAGAGTATTACTTGACTGGTGTGTAAATGAAGGTTTACTTAGTAGCCATTATTAGGTATCCTGTTTGTAGGAAGGAAATGCATATGGTTGAACATTGGAAATGCGTACGGTTGAACATCGCTACAGAAGATATTTTGTGAATTTATGTGGCGATGCCAATATGCAGATTATAGTTCAGATAATTTTAGGAAGTTTTTGGATGCTGTTCAGGAATTTTGTTTGACTGAAGACATGTTAATTCATAAATAAGGTAAGTGGATATTTCCTTTGTGTAGTGCAAAAGTGAATTTCCTTTTTCATGTTATTTCATTGTTTGATTTAAAATGCAGTTTATTGAGATTATATATATATATATTTTTGGCCAGATTCTACGTCTTTTGGAAGGGAATTGATCATGATATTGAAGAAGTTTCTAGGAACTGTGTCGATAGTATTAAGTTCAAATCAGATCCAGTAAGGGCAAGGGTCCATCACTGGGAATATCCAAGTGCGCCTTGGAAACGCATTCACGTAGATTTTGTAGGCCCTATTTTTGAACGAATGTTCTTGATTATCATTGATACACATTCTAAATGGCTAGAAGTGTATACCTTAAAGTCAGCAAATTCCTTTCAGACAATTGAATGTTTGAGAGACTGTTTTGTAAGATACGGACTGCCTTTAGTAGTAGTGAGTGATAATGGTCCTCGGTTCACATCGGGGGAGTTTGAAACTTTTATAAGGAATAATGGAATTAAACACAAAACGTGTGCTCCATTTAAACCGGCAAGTAACGGGCAAGCAGAGTTACACCGTTAAACAAGCATTACGTGCAATGCAAGGTTATCCAGGAAATATTAAGCAAAAACTTGCCATATTCCTCATGAATTATAGAAAGGCACCGAACATGACAACCTTGTAAAGTCCAGCAATGTTATTCTTAAAAAGAGAAATTAGAACTCGAATTGATTTAGTTGTTCCAAATCTTAAATGAAGAGTTAAAGAACGCATCCGAAGGTATACTTATGATTTCAAAGACAGAAATTTTGAGATCGGAGAAAAGGTTGCCATTTGAGATTATAGAACAGCAAATTTCTGATGGAAAATTGGCAGAGGGACAAATAAGGAGGGAGCACTGCATTATACCATTGACGTTCAAGGAACTTTACTGCGCCGGCACGTCGATCAGATCAGATCTGTAGGGAGCGAGGTTCCATCTGCACCGGTAATCTATGAACCTCGTATGACTGCTACTTCAGATGGCAACGTGAAGCCACAGGCTCTAGACAAGGACATCGAGCAAAGAAGTGAAGTTGTGCAAATTTCAGCTGGACTTGAAACATCGTCAACAACAAAACTAATCCAGTCCTTCCAGTGGATCCTGATAAAGAGTTGCAGCAACCTCAGCCAGGACTTAGACGATCTTCGCGCATCCGCAAAGCTCCTCAGAGATTAAATCTTTAAATAAGTGGGGATGGGTGTAGCATCTGATTTCTAGAGTATCAGTACTCTTATACCCGAGAACCTCTGTGAACGAGAGTAGAGTAGAATGTAATGTAACTGCATAAATAGCACATCGCTGCTGTCTTATGAGTTAGAAATAAATGTTTGTGCCGTGAACTAGTCTGTTTTGGTTGCATCATGCACTTCACTGAACCCACACCGCTAGACACAACATCAACCATTGAAAGCATCTGGTCATGGGTTGTTAAGAAACTAGCCCGTCACCCCTCTTCAGCTGATGCGGTTGATGAAGTGGGGCATAGACTTGAAGCAGCATGGAATAAGTTGCCCGTTTCTGTAATCCAAACCCCGTTTGACTCCATGTCTAACCGGGTAAGGGTCGTTTTAGCTGCAAGGGGTGGCAGCTATTTATAATAATTCTGCACCCCTTTTAATCAGTGTTGCGAGATTGTGTGATTTTTTGCAAATTTGCGACTTTTGACAAACTTTTGCTACTATTTTTGACAAACTTGTGCTTAGTATTTGCGGTTTTGCGAAATTTTTGCAACATCCATCATTTTTTTATGCTACTTTTTGCGACTTCAAAGATTTTTTTTAATATATCGTAAAATGCTTTGATGTTAAAATAATGTATCAATTAAAAGTAATTTATATATAAAAAACAGTTTATTTAGGCTTAAATAGAAGTTGGCAGTTGGCAATCTTGTTTACGTGTGGGCTTTCCTTTTTTTCAAGGCTGCAGAGCATGACGCTGGTATAACGAGAAGCAGGTAGGAGAAAAAGAAAGAAAAAAAATACTCGCCTTTCCCCCCTTGTTCCCTGTGCATTTTGTTTTTCAGTCAGACCTCCACCCCAGTTCTATGGTGATTACGAATCGAACAAAAGAACTTGCAGCTTGTGCGCTGTTTATTAAGTAATTGTTAATTCAGACAGAGAAAGAAATTAAATTCATTCTCCTGTGGAAATGTATTAAAAATCAAAGTAACATCTTTTTTCTAAATAACGACGCAAATATATTTAACAGTGAAGGAACAAGGCTTTCATAAGTAATCAGAATCTGGAATAAATCGACCATGCAGAACGGAAAAAGAATCGAATACAGTAACTTACAGAACCAATAGACAGTAAATTTGTGATGACGTCAGATGTCATGTTAGCATGCGCAAATATGACGTCCCGAAAATCACGTGATATCTGATGTCAGTTGCAACTTTTTGAGTCCTGTTTTGCGACATTAGTTGAAAATTTTCTGGTAACACTGCTGTAAACCCTTAAACTGCTTACAAATTTAGTCATTTGTCCTTCATGCCATACTGTTTACATACAATAAATATCTTTTTTGTATTTGTTTTCCTTCATGGTGTTGCAATTTTAATGGTCAGTAGTTTATATTTAGCCATGCCAAGCGTACACATTACCATCGAAACTGCATGTTGTACGAACATAGCCAAAAGTTTGTTTTTTTGATCACTATAACAGTTATGTAAACCAGTTTTTAACAGAAGTATAGTGACAAGTCTCTTTAATAAATTTAAGTTATATGAGATATTCTGCTTCGTTATTTTTCAATCAATGAGATTTATAAAACTGTTAAAAATTAAGTTCTGAATATTCTGAATATTGATTTAAAAAACTGTTACAAAATAAAACTTTCAGAAAAAGAAATTTTGTTTCATATAATCCTCTTAACATTTAATTAATGAAACTATTAAAATTAGATGTTTAATATATAGAAATGTTATATAATGTGATAATGCTGCAACATGAATGATTTTCTCAGTT